CTTATGGAGAACCTCTGTGAGGGCAGTGTGGAAGGGGAAAGGTGGGGTCAGAGCCCCCACACAGAGTCCCTACTGGGGCACCGCCTAGTGGAGCTGTGAGAAGAAGGCCACCATCCTCCAGACCCCAGAATGGTAGATCCGCCAACAGCTTACACTGTGCTCCTAGAAGAGCCCCAGACACTCAACACCAGCCTATGAAAGCAGCCAGGAGGGAGGCTTTACCCTGCAAAGCCACAAGGACAGAGCTGCCCAAGACCGTGTGAACCCACCTTTTGCATCAGCGTGACCTGGATGTGAGACCTGGAGTCAAAGGAGATCATTTTGGAGCTTTAAAATTCGATTGCCTCACTGGATTTTGGACTTGCAAGGGCCCTGTAACCCCTTTGTTTTGGCCAATTTCTCCCATTTGGAATGTCTGTATTTCCCAATACTTGTACCCCCATTGTATCTAGGAAGTAACTAGCCTGCTTTTGATTTTACAGGCTCATAGGTTGAAGGGACTTGCCTTGTCTCAGATGAGATTTTGGACGCTAGACTTTTGGGTTAATGTTGAAATGAGTTAAGACTTTGGGGGAGTATTGGGAAGGCATGATTGGTTTTGAAATGTGAGGACATGAAGTTTGGAGAGGCAAGGAGCAGAATGATATGGTTTGGCTGTGTCCCCACTCAAATCTCAACTTGAATTGTATCTCCCAGAATTCCAGTGGGTTGTGGGAGGGGCCCGGGGAGGGTAATTGAATCATGGGGGCTGGTCTTTCCCATGCTGTTCTTGTGATAGTGAATAAGTCTCACAAGATCTGATGGGTTTATCAGGGGTTTCCGCTTTTGCTTCTTCCTCATTTTCTCTTGCCACCACCATGTAAGAAGTGCCTTTTACCTCCCGCCATGACTCTGAGGGGCCTTCTCAGCCATGTGGAGCTGTAAGTCCAGTTAAATCTCTTTTTCTTCCCAATCTTGGGTATGTCTTCATCAGCAGCATGAAAATGCACTAATATACTACTCCTGCTAATTTTTAGTTTCTATTGGCATGGAATAACTTTTTCCATTGCCTTATTTTCAGCCTGTGTGTATGTTTATAGGTAAAGTTTGTTTCTTGTAGGTAACAGATCATGGATTTTGTTTTTTTAATTCATTAAGCCACTCTATGTCTTTTGATTAGAAAGTTTAGTTCATTTACATTCCATGCCATTATTGATAAGTAAGGACTTACTCTTGCCACTTTGTTAGTTGTTTTCTGGTTCATTTGTGATCTTCTTTTCTTTCTTTCTTTCTCGTCTTCCTCTTAGTGAAGGTGATTTTCTCTAGTGGTATTTTAAAATTTATTTCTTTTTATTTTTTTGTGTATCTGTTATTTTTTTTAATTTGGGGTTACATTGAGGCTTGCAAATAATATTTTATAACCTATTATTTTTAAACTGATGACACTGATTGCATAAACAAGCAAACAAACTCATAAACCAGCAAAGAGAAAAGTAATAAAAACTGTACACTTTCATTCTGTTCCCTTGCTTTTTAACTTTTTGTTGTTTGTATTTATATCTTATTATACTGTCTATGTCTTGGAATGTAGTATTCTTTTAAATTGGTTCATCTTTTAGTCTTTCTATTGAAGATATGAATAGTTTACACACGACAATTACAGGGTTATAATATTCTGTCTTTATTGTGTACTTACTAATGAGTTTTCTACCTTCAGATGATTGCTTATTGCTCATTAATGTCTTTTCTTTCAATTTGAAGAACTCTCTTTTGCATTTCTTGTAGGCAGGTCTGTTGTTGATGAAATCCTTCAGCTTTTGTTTTTTTCTGGGGATATCTTTATTTTTCCTTCTTGTTTGAAGTTTATTTTTGCTGGATAATACTATTCTAGGATAAAAAGGTTTTTCCTTTAGCAGTTTAAATATGTCAGACTGACTGCACATAGTGGCTCATGCCTATAATCCCAGCACTTTGGGAGGCCAAGATGGGAGGATTGCTTGAGGCCAGAAGTTCGAGACCAACCTGGGCAACATTAGGGAGACCCAATCTCTACAAAAATAAGAATAAAAAATTAGCTGGGTATGGTGACATGTGCCTGTGGTTCCAGCTATGCTGGAGGTTGAGACAAGAAGATCACCTGAGCCAAGGACGTTGAGGTGGTAGTGAGCTGTCATGACAGTGAACTCCAGCCTGGGCAACTGAGATCCCCATCTTAAAAAAAAAAAGTAAAAAGAAATAAGTAAATAAATATGTCATACCACTCTCTCCTAGCCTATAAAGTTTGCACTGAGAAGTCTGCTACCAGACATATTGGAGCATCTTTGTATGCTATTTGTTTCTTTTCTCTTGCTGCTTTCAGGATCCTTTCTTTATCCTTGATCTGTGAGGGTTTGATTGTTAAGTGCCTTGAGGTATTCTTCTTTGGGTTAAATCTGTTTGGTATTATATGACCTTCTTGTACTGAATATTGGTATCTTACTCTAGATTTGGGAACTTTTCTGTTAGTATCCCTTTGAATAAACTTTGTACTCCTATCCCTCTCTCCACCTCCTCTTTAAGGTCAGTAACTCTTAGATTTGCTGTTTTGAGGCTATTTTCCAGAATTTTTAGGTGTGTTCAGTCTTTTTTATTCTTTTTTCTTTCGTCTCTTCTGTATTTTTAAATAATCTGTCTTCAAGCTCACTAATTCTTTCTTCTGCTTGATTAATTCTGCTGTTAAGAAACTCTGATGCATTCTTCAGTTGCATTTTTCAGCTCCAGAATTTGTTTGATTTTTTTTTTTTTTTTTTTTAGTTATTTCACTCTCTTTGTTAAATTTATCTGACAGGATTCTGAATTCCTTCTGTGTATTCTTGAATTTCTTTGAGTTTCCTCAAAATAGCTTTTTTTTTTTTTTTTTTTTTTCAATGGTGCAATCTCGGCTCACTGCAGTCTCCACCTCCCAGGCTCAAGTGATCCTCCTGCCTCAGCCTTCCAAGTAGCTGGGACTACAGGCACATGCCATTGCACCCAGCTAATTTTTTTATTTTTTGTAAAGATGAGGTTTTGCCATGTTGCCCAGGCTGGTTTTGAACTCCTTAGCTCAAGTGATCCACCTGTCCCTTGGCCTCATAAAGTGCTAGGATTACAGGCATAAGCCACTGTGCCTGGCCAAAAATAGCTATTTTGAATTTTCTGTCTCTAAGGTTGTATATTTCTGTCTCTCTAGAATTGGTCACTTATTATATCTTATTAGTTGGTTTGGTGAGGTCATTTTTTCTTCGATGGTCTGGACGCTTGTGTGGTTAGATGTTTGTTGTAGTCTTCACAGTCTGGGCATCTTTGTACCTGTCCTTCTTGGGAAGGTTTTCCAAGTATTTGAGGAGAATTGGGTGTTGTGATCTAAGTCTTTGGTCACTGCAGCTGTATCTGCATTCGGGGGCACCCTAAGCCCAGTAATGCCACAGCTGCTGTAGACTTGTAGAGGTGACTGCCTTGGTGGTCTTGGGTCAGATCTGGGAGAATTCTCTGGATTACCAGGCAGAGACTCTTGTTCTCTTCCCTAACTTTCTCCCAAACAAATGGAGTCTCTCTCTCTCTTTGCTGAGCTGCTTGGAGCCAGGAGGGGGTGACACAGCACCCCTGTGGCCTTTAATACTGGGACTGGCCTGGGGCAGGCCTGAAGCCAGCACAGCACTGGGTCTTGCCCAAGGTCCACATGGTGACCACTTGCCTGTCTACCACCTATGTTTACCCAAAGCCCAAGGGCAAATTCAGCCAGGCTTATGTCCTTCCTTTTAGGGCAGCAAGTTACCCCTGGCTCTGGGCAGATCTGGAGATGCTGTCAGGGCCTGGCATTGAGAACCTTAGGAATCTACCTGTCGCTGTGTTCTATGGCAGCTGAGCTCGCACCCAAACCAAAAGACAAACTCCCCACTCCTCTCTCCCATTTCCTCAAGCAGAGGAATCTCTCCCCATGGCCACCACTGCCCCAGGCCTGCAGCAAGTACTGCACGGCTGTCGCTGATATTCACTCAAGGTCCAAGGGCTCTTTGGTTAGCTTGCGGTTAATGCTGATAGGCCTGGGTATCTCCTTTCAGGGCAATGTGCTCCCCTCTGGCCCGGGGTGGGTCCAGAAATACCATCCAGGAGCCATGGCCTAGAATCAGGGACCTCAAGGGCACACTTGGTGCTCTACCCCACTGTGGTTGAGCTCGTACCCTGCCTATAAGACAGGGTTCCCTTTACTCTTCCCTCTTTTCCTCAAGCAGAAAGAGTCTCTCCCTGTAGCCACCACAGCTAGGAATATACTGGGTCACTCCTGAGGCCAGTATGGCTCTGAGTCTCACCCAAGACCCACAGTGAGTACTGCCTGGCTACCACTGTTTGAGCCCAAGGGCTTTTTGGTCAGCAGGTGATGACTCCTGCTGGGACTGGATCCTTCCCTTCAAATGTGCTGATTGCATTTTGGTCCAAGGTGTGTCTAGAAATGTCGTCCATAAGTTAGGTCCTGGAATGGGGGCCTCAGGACTGTGGTCCCTTGTTCTACTCTGGCTGAGCTGGTCCTTTTTACTCTTCTGTCTCTTCCTGGGCTGTGAGCAACACTGCCTGGCTTTGCAGTAGGGGTGGCACAAGCACTCCCTGGCCACTCAGCTGGTGTCTCAGTAGGTCATGTGCACCCTAAGTCTGCTGGGCTAGTGGAGTGGCAGTAACAGACGATAGAAGGTAGGAATTGCATTGTGTTTGAGAAGATGTGGAGAGGACTATGAACCTACTTTTGTGCAACACTGAAAAGTATATGCTTCCTTTCAGTTAATTGACCTGAGTCTTTGAAGAATAGACTCACATTCTGAGTCTGTGATTGAATATTTTGTCATTCTACACCCTTACTTAGCAAGCTAAAGTCCTGAAAAATATGATTCTTGAATTTTCTTGATTTCCAGAATAATATAGCGTATTCCTTAGAAGAAAGTGGTTTCATGAAAGGTGTTATTTTCAAAAAACTAATCTTCTTTTCCTTTTTTTTTTTTTAAAAAAAATAGGATTAAAAGAGTAAAATTAATATCTAACAAAGGGACTGAAACTGACAATGACCCAAGTTGTGTCCGTCCTATCATTAAGAAGAGACAATGTCGACCAGAGATTAGAATGTGGCAAACAAGAGAGAAAGCAAAATTTTCAGATGGAGAAAAGTGCCGTAGGGTAAGATTTAGATGGATTTAACAAGCCTTTTTTTCCTCATGTAACATTTTCCTGTTAAGACTCTGTTAGAGATATAAAATAGATACTAGTAGGTTTGTAAATTTGTCCTAACAAGTAAAACCACAGGATATGAAAAGAAGCTATCACATGAAGACTGGAACTTAGTCTTAAAATTTCTAGTACTAGACTTGTTATTAATTTTGCGAGTTATCCAGCCTTAGCAGTAGGCTAGTAGATTTAATAAACAGATTAGTGAAGAGGGTGCTGTGTCATATTCCAGAGAAGCAGTGATAGTATAGTAAGAGTTTGGGAAATTATTTTGTAGGTTTAGGTAGAGATGGTCTGCTCTATGTCTAAAACTAGCTATATGCTTTTACTTTATAGTTTTAAACTGTTTTCTTGTTGGTTAGATCGTGGCATTTAGTCTAATAATTATTGAGCCATTACTATAACCAGGCATTGTTCTAAGTACTTTACGTATACTAACTTATCTCATTTATTTTCAACAAACCTGTGAAATAGATGCTTTTATTATCATTTCTTTTCAGATGAGGAAACTCAGCTCCAGACAGATTTAGTAAATTGCTCAAGGTTATGTGTCTAGTAAGTAGAAGAGTTGTGATTCAGGCTTAGAGTTTGACTTGAGTCTTGGTTTTTGAATACTCCGTAACACTGCCTCTTCATTTAGCATATTTAGTTTCAAGTTAATATTTTTCTTAATTGAGATTAAATAATATATGGATTTATTCAGTTTTGGGTTAGTTTACTTTTGCTGCTTGGTAGTGTTTGTATGATTTTTTTGTTTTTACACATGCAGCTTATTAGAATATTTTGGGCTGTCCCCTGTGAAGATATTGCTGTTCTCTTTGTAGGAGGCTTTTAGGCGTTTGGGTAATGGGGTGTCTGATGACCTGTCAAGTGAGGAAGATGGTGAAGCACGGACACAGATGATATTATTGCGTAGGAGTGTGGAAGGGGCCTCAAGTGACAATGGTTGTGAAGTTAAGAATAGAAAATCAATACTTTCAAGGCACCTAAACTCTCAGGTAATTTCTGTTTTAGTTTATGAAAGTATAGGACTAAATCATTGAAGTTAGTAACAAAGCATTTAACATATCTTCCTATTGTTTGTTGGTTTGATTTTTGGCAGGTAAAGAAAACCACTACAAGGTGGTGTCATATTGTGCGGGATTCAGATAGTCTAGCTGAATCAGAATTTGAATCAGCAGCCTTTAGCCAGGTAAAGTATCCCTTTGAGAAATCAAGGTATATTTTTGAGTGTAATAACTTTATCCATTCCTTTTTTTATTGCTTGCCCTAAAGCTGCGTTTACATTAATATTTGCCAACCCTTTCCTTGTCTCCAATTATCTATCTCCTTATCTGGCAGCTTTTAATGACTACATACCTAGAAATAATATTTTTCTTTTTTTTTTTTGAGACGGAGTCTTGCTCTGTCTCCCAGGCTGGAGTGTAGTGGCTGGATCTCAGCTCACTGCAAGCTCCGCCTCCCGGGTTCACGCCATTCTCCTGCCTCAGCCTCCCGAGTAGCTGGGACTACAGACGCCCGCCACCTCGCCCGGCTAGTTTTTTGTATTTTTAGTAGAGACAGGGTTTCACCGTGTTAGCCAGGATGGTCTCGATCTCCTGACCGCGTGATCCGCCCGTCTCGGCCTCCCAAAGTGCTGGGATTACAGGTTTGAGCCACTGCGCCCAGCCGAAAGAATATTTTTCTACGTTGACCCTGAGCTTAAAAGTATCACAGATGATGCCCAGAAAGAGGTTACTTAATCCCTGAATAATGAGATTATTAAATATTCACTTGGAATATGAGGTTTATTTTTAAACATCATAAATTGGATTGACACTGATGAAGACAGATTTTTGAGAAAGGAGTTCTGAAAAGATGGGAGTAGTAAATCTCATCATGAGAGCTAAAGGGCATATTATATTATTTGGAAAATTGTAAGTCAGAGGTGAGCAGAGTAGATGGTGGTGGTGTGGTTTTTCTTTTGTTTTGATTAACAAGGCAATTGTGATCATGGAATAACTTTCATATTTATGTTTTTACTTTTCTTTGCCTGATTATCCTTTAACATTTTGGAGCTGAGTAGGTCTGTAGTGAAGTTCACAATATTTAGAGTTGGGGACATTTTGTGTGTGTCAAAAAGCTCAGCTAAGCCAATTGAGTTGGTCATCTTGGTGTGCTTATAGGAATCACTCCCTTCCCAGAACACCTTAGTTGAACAGTTCTGTAACTTGGCAATAGCTTCTTAGAGGGAGTCCTGCTTGCTAGAGACATCAGAGTTTAACATTTAAATACTAAAATCTATTATTGGCCAGACATGGTAGCTCACGCCTGTAATCTCAACACTTTGAGAGGTTGAGGTGGGTGGATAGCTTGAGACCAGGAGTCTGAGACCAGCCTGGGCAACAAAATGAGACCCCCTCTTTACAAAAAAAAAATATATATATATATGTGTGTGTGTGTGTGTGTGTGTGTATCCGGGTGTGATGGTATGCACCTGTAGTGCCAGCTACTCAGGAGGCTGAGGCAGGAGGATCGCTTGAGCCCAAGAGTTTGAGGTTGCAGTGGGCTACGATAATGCCACTGCACTCCAGCCTGGGTGACAGAGTGTGACCCTGTATCAAAAAATAAGAAAGCATTATTGTTATGTGAAGCCCTGTGAAAAAATGAATTCATGGTGATTGACTTTTGAAGGCTTTCAATCCATTGCTGTAGATAACTTGTTTTAATTTTATTTCACATATAATTATTTTTAAAGATGAAGAAAATTTTTTCCTTTTTGTTTTCCTTTAAAGGGCTCTAGATCTGGTGTGAGTGGTGGCTCTCGAAGCCTCAACATGTCAAGAAGAGACTCAGAAAGCACCCGCCATGACTCGGAGACTGAGGATATGTTATGGGACGACCTGCTACATGGCCCAGAGTGCCGGTCATCTGTCACCAGTGACAGTGAGGGGGTTCATGTGAATACCCTTCACTCAGGGACCAAACGTGACCCCAAAGAGGATGTTTTTCAGCAGGTCTGTGCAGGCATGATAAGAATAGCTAGTATTTATTGTGTTCTTACTGTGTGTCAGGCATTCTGTTATCTCATTTAACTTTACAATAATCCTGTAGGGTAGATACTATTATTATCCCCAGTTTAGAGGTGAGGAAATTGAGCATAGCCTGTAAGTGAAGATGTTGGGATTAGAATTCAGGGAGAAGTAATCTAGAGTTACCCTAACCTAAATTTTTTTTATATTACTTTTTCTTATTATTTTCCTTAGAATGGTCCTTAACGTGTATTTTGTATTTTGTATGAGTAAAGTTTGTATACAGAAAATATACCTTATATTTTCATGAACATCACAGTGTTACATATGAATTACTAGGAAATGGTACTGCTTGCTTTTTGAATAGTGCATAAAATAAATCATGCTTTTAATTTCAGGTTTTATATTAATGTCATAAAATCAGTCATTAGAAGGTATTTCAACCTTCCAACCAATGTAGAGATTCATTCTATATCTGTGTAAATTTTTTACCATCTGTTGTGTGGTGATAATAGTTCCTACTTCTTAGGAATAGTGTGAAATAGCTAATAAGATAAAGTACATAGCATAATACCTGGCGAGAGTAAATACCCAATAAATGTTAGCATTATTATTAATGTCTCCATCAGATGATCAGTTGGCCTCTTCTTAAATACTTCTGGAGCTGGAGTGCTTGTTATTTAATGATACAGCTTATTCCACTTCTGGATAGATTGAATGATGAAGAAATAGTTCTCATATCAACCTTTCAGTTGCTTAATGTCAATGATTGTTATGATTCTTAGGTTTTTGTTCTTTAGGCTAAATATTTCCACATTGACTTGCAAATAGTGAATGATGGATACGTATTTGCTTAATTATCAAATTTTCTTGATTCAAAGATACCATTGATTTAGATGATATATTTTCATTTAAAAAATCACTTCATTAAATGTATATAATTTTTAAAAAATGAACCAGAAACAATGTAAATTTTCTCATTAAAGTTTTTTTTTTTTTTTTTCTTTTTGAGACAGAGCTCACTCTGTTGCCCAGGCTGGAGTGCAGTGGTGCAATCATGACTCACTGTAGCCTTAACCTCGCCAGCTCAAGTGATCCTCCCACCTCAGCCTCCTGATTAGCCACCATGCTTGGCTAATTTTTAAATTTTTTGTAGAGATAGGGTCGCACTATCTTGCTTAGGCTGGTCTTGAACTTCTGGGTTCAAACAGTCCTCCCACCTTAGCCTCACAAAGTGTTGGGATTACAGGGGTGAGCCACCATACCTGGCTCTCATTAAAATTTTATGCTACTTTTTCTGATTTTGCAGTGAGGTTAAATATTTTTTGCATTCAGTCTGAAGATTCATCTAAATTGCATTGCTTTCAGTAGTTATGCATAGCATCATGATGATCTTGATCTCTTTAGCACTCCCCTCCTTTGAGATTTGCAGCATAATTTTAAGACATATATAAGAATAATTGAGTGTGGTAAACTCACCATGTCAAATGCAATAAATCATTTTCCAATCCTGTTCACCTAGCCTATTATTCTTTTATTCCCTGTGTTTCTTAATACTATACTACCCACCCAAGTCAAAAAGCTTGGAGTCATTCTTGACCCCCCGCCTTTTTTTTTTAGATGAAGTCTTACTCTGTCACCCGGGCTGGAGTACAGTAGCACAATTTCAGCTCACTGTAACCTCCGCCTTCCAGGCTCAAGTGATTCTCCTGCCTCAGCCTCCTCAGTAGCTAGGATTACAGGCGCCTGCTGCCCACCACCACACCTGACTAATTTTTGTATTTTTAGTAGAGATGGGGTTTTGCCATGTTGGCCAGGCTGGACTCAAACTCCTGACCTCAAGTGATCCACTCGCGTCGGCCTCTGAAAGTGCTGGGACTACAGGCATGAGCCGCCATGCCCAGCTGGCCCCATTCTTTCCACCCTTAATCGCTTATATTCTTTTGATTCAGCTGTCTAAATACCTGCATCTCTGTGGTCACCCTGCTTGGTGCAGGCCATCATCTTATCTCAACTGGATAAGATAAGAAGCTATTACAGTAACTTCTGTAGGGTTGCCTCTGTTCCTTTCATTTTCCTTGCTACAGCCAGAGTGATACTTCTAAAATACAAATCTGATAATGCCACTTCCTTTAAAATCCTTTTTTCTTCTTTCTGGATTGCTTGCTTCTATTCCTTTATTTGTTCTAATACAGTTTCATCTCTGACCATTCTGTCCCTGCTCCTCACATGGTGAACTTGACTCGACTAACCTTCTTTGTTGCTGATATGTAACCAGGCCTCATGCGCCTCTGGGCCCGTATGCATACAGGTTTCTTTGCCTGGGACATAATTTTCTCTAATGCCCATTCTTTTGGTTCATTCCTTTTTATTTCCAGGCAGGTCTTGGCCTGAGTGATGCTTCCTTCAGGAAGCCTTTCCTATATACTCCTAAAGCACTCTTACTTTTCCTTACCTTGCTGTATAGTAACTTCCTTCAGAAGTCTATAAACTCCTTGATAGCAAGGACATCTATCTTGTTCTCCATTTTATCCACAGGCATGATACATAGTAGGTCCTTAGTAAATATGAGTTGTATAAGTCAGTGAATCAGTCAAATCAGTGATTCAAATCAATAAATGCTTGTTGGCATTATGCTAAGCGTTTTGGTAGAAAGAGAAAAAATATGCCAGATGGTCCTTTTCTAGAAGGTTATATTTTAGTTTGGGAACAAGATAATTATATAGGAAATAAGTAGAGGACAACATAAAAGCACCATATAATAAGGTGCTAATTTGTCTGATACAGACTGTAAAAGTTTTTCATTTCAGAGAAGGGCAAAGTTAGTAAGGCTGAGGCTGTCAGAGAGGACCATGGTGGTGAAATGGGACTTGAGCTAGTATTTAAAGAATGAGACATGATATGGCAGAGGAGGAGAGGGAGCTGTTTTCATTGTGACTGTCTCCACTTGAGCTTTTCTAAGCCTCACTAATTCTCTGTGTCCTGGTTAGACCAGAAACAGACTTAACTCCTCAGTCATTCATGTGATGTATAAGGCCTTTTAGTATCTTCCTTTACTTCCTATTACTCCCAGTGTAATCTCGTAGCTCTAGAAATTCTTTCTTGATAGCCCTTGACTACACTAAGCTTATCCTCACTTCCATACCTTTAGAGAGGGAAGCAACCTTGGAGATCATGGACTGCTATCTCTCCTGATAACAGAAGACATTTAGTCTCTCCCTAGGCAAGAGAATGGCTTAGTGAAGAAAAATGGCTCTAGCGGGCCATGGTGGTATGTGATTGTGGTCCTTGCTACGCAGAAGGCTGTGTAGAGGGAGGCAGATGGGAGGATTGCTTGAGCCCAGGAGTTTGAGACCAATCTGGGCAACATAGTGACACCCTGTCTCAAAAAAAAAAAAAAAAAGAGAAAAAAAGGACCAGCATTATAGAAGCGGTTATTAGAGTGTTGGCAAATGAATGGAGCCTGGGAAAGAAAAACTAATGGAGGCAATAAAGCATGGATAGAAACAATTTTATATTTTTCTTCTCAGAATCATTTGTTCTGGCTTCAGAATTCAAGTCCTTCCTCTGATCGAGTTAGTGCAATAATCTGGGAGGGGAATGAGTGCAAAAAGATGGATATGTCTGTGTTGGAAATAAGTGGCATCATCATGAGCAGGGTAAGATTGAATATGTTTCCAGATTTTTCAAAAAATATACTAAGTGATCAGGAGCTATTTTGTAAGAATCTCTAAGTGATTAAAACAGTATGACTCTGCTTTTGAAGCACATATATATATCATCTATATTATATGTAATATATTATTAACATATATATGTAATTTTGTAGTCAGAGTCTTTACATGGTAGTATATATATTATTTGTTATACCTGGTCTCTGTTAGCATAGTCAACTGTTCAGGTATGCTCTACAGGTATTCCTATCTCATTAAATCCCAATTTTTAATAAGATTTAAAAGTCATAAATCTGTATGTCATTTGTATTTATACTTTTAGAATGTGTTTTTAATAGTCTGAATAGTGTTTGATAAATACTGCTTTGTAACTCCATTTAGCTACACAATAATGATAGAAATTGTAAATAATTCACAGGTCAATGCCTATCAGCAAGGAGTAGGTTATCAGATGCTGGGAAATGTTGTCACTATCGGATTAGCATTTTTTCCATTCTTACATCGACTTTTCCGTGAGAAGAGCCTTGACCAGCTAAAGTCCATTTCAGCTGAGGAGATCTTGACTCTCTTTTGTG